TTGAACATATTTAGAGAATTGTATGTTCGTACTGTTGAACATATTTAGAGAATTGTATGTTCGTACTGTTGAACATATTTAGAGAATTGTATGTTCCTACTGTTGCAAGCATTTAGAGAATTGTATGTTCGTACTGTTGCAAGCGTTTAGAGAATTGTATGTTGGTACTTTTGCAAGCATTTAGAGAATTGTGTGTTCGTACTATTGAACAAATTTAGATAATTGCACGTTCGTACAGTTCAACATATTTAGAGAACTTTTAGTCGAGGGGGGGGGGGGTGGGTTAGGCTAAGGCCTAAATAATCCAAAATAAAAAAATAGATAAATAAATAATTAATAAAAAAATAATGAGTAAAATAAATAAATAAATAAATAAACAAATAAATAAGTAAAATAAATAAAGAAAAAAGTAAAACAAATAAATAAAAAAAAAAAAGAAAAATAAATAAATAAATAAATAAGTGAAAAAAATAAATAAATAAGTAAAATAAATAAATAAATAAATAAATAAAGGTCACCTTTTACACAGGTAGCGCATTGGGCATATGATGCTAGCTCAAAGTGTATAGAACAACGGGCACTTGACGGATGACATAGCCAGCATCACTCTGACCGCCTTTACTTTCCATGACTTTACCTGGTACCATGTAAGGATGGGCCAATTTTGGCGCTACGGTGGTTAAAAAAAAAACCGGAGTCAATGCGGATAACAATTAAACAAAAATTAAACACAAATTATACAAAAATTAGGCGAACAGGTGAGTCGTCCAGCCTCCACACCACGGGAGCTTCTCTGTTGACTTAGCTCAACATATATAAAGAACGGCATAGTCATTAGGTTCAGCAAATTTAGAGAATTGTATCTTTTTTGGTTCAACATATTTAAAGAATTGTATATTTTTGGGTTCAATATATTTAGGGAATTGTATATTTTTTGATTCAACATGTTTAGAAGATTGTATTTTGGGGTTCAACATATTTAGAGCATTGTGTGTTCGTAGGGTTTAACATATTTACATAATTGTGTGTTTTTAAGGTATAACATGTTTCAAGAATTGTATATTTTTGGGTTCAACATATTTAGAGAAGTGTATATTTTTGGGTTCAACATACTGAGATAATTGTATATTTTTGGGCTCAACATATTTAGATAACTGTATATTTTTGGGTTCAAAATTTTTAGAGAATTGTGTGTTCGTAGGGTTTAACATATTTAAAGAATTGTGTTTTTGTAAGGTTTAACATATTTAGAGAATTTTATATTTTTGGGTTCAACATATTTAGAAAATTGTATATTTTTGGGTTCAACATATTTAGAGAATTGTGTATTTGTAGGGTTTAATATATTTCTCTCGATTATTCAACCTCTTAAAAATCAGTTTTACTGTATTTAGAACCGTCTATTAATTATTTATCTACATATCATTTACAGGCTCCCCCTGTGGGTTTGGATGGCCCATTATGGGGACAACAAGAATAGACCCCCTGACTCCCTAGCAAGCATGTCGTAGGAGTCAACTAATTGCGGGCATCCTTCAAAGTCGGAGTATATTTGCCAAGAGTCTGCAGACATATAAGCCAGATCTGTGAATCTGATGAGCATGCACCACTCCGGTTCTGGAACAAGAATATGGACGAGCACCTAGAACTTTCTGCCGAAATTCACAGCCGGTCAATGTGAAGAAAAAGAAGAAGAAGAAGTTGACAGAGCATCGCGAACCATCTCTATCTTTTGTTGGTTGTTTGCGGTTTTACTGGGCAGCTTTATGTTGAGTAGTTTGCCATTGCTTCCTGAACGGCACGAACTGACTGTTGCCAAATCGTCTGCAATTACCTTCAAACTCTCTTATTTCAGAAGTGTGAAGATCGTATGTGTATAGAATTCAACAAATTGTGAGAATTCTATGTTGGTAGGGTTTTAAATAATTAGGTCTTCCATGTGGGTTGCGGGGCTGCAGTTTAGACAGTAAAAAATTGCAACATACTGGGCTCTCTTACTATGCTGTCAAAGGTTACTAATAATTAAGGGTTTGCCTAAAATAGAATCTTTTGGGCCGAAAAGGGCAGTTATTGCAACATAGAAGATGCCACAACACAGCGTATCAACCACCCTTTTAAGCGTGAACACAGCAGCAGCAACGAAAGAACAAGATGCAGACGAAGAAGAGGAGGAGGAGGAGGAGGAGGAGGAAGAAGAAGAAGAAGAAGAAGAAAAAGAAGAAGAAGAAGAAGAAGAAAAAAAGAAGAAGAAGAAGAAGAAGAAGAAGAAGAAGAAGAAGAAGAAGAAGAAGAAATATTAAGGGTCGTGTGATTGTTTTTCTATTTCTCTTTTCTCACCTTATTAACACAGTGAGCATACGCTGTCAATCAACATGCAAAGTCGTCTTTTCTATCGCATACTTTATGTCCAGCCCATCTTTTAAATCTCACCTTTTAGCTCCACTGTGCACTTGGTGTGTGTGTGTGTGTGCGCGCGCGCGCGAGTGTGTGCGTGCGTGTGTCTGTCTGTCTGTCTGTTTGTCTCTCTCTTTCTCTCTTTCTCTCTTTCTTTCTCTCTCTCTCTCTGTCTGTCTGTCTGTCTCTCTCTCTCTCTCTCTCTCTCTCTCTCTCTCTCTCTCTCTCTCTCTCTCTCTCTCTTTCTCTCTACCTTCAATTCTATGCCCCTGATTAATATTTTGCAAAGGGTTATATTGTTTTCACGTGTTCTCAACATGTTTCCTATCCTTATCCAGCATCTGTTCTTCACCTTAAGATTCACTAGAAGATAATTATTTATTCACTGTGCATCTTAAAGGGTTTAGCAAGAATGTCCACAAGCCAGGCGACGATGTTGTGGTGGTGTATGTACCAGAAGGCCACGGTTTGCTCCACGCCTCCAAATGGGAAAACAGTATGTATATGTTTTATTATTACATCATTGTTCCTCTTCCTCTGCCCGTTGACCATCAATGGAGCATAGGCCCTTAACTAAGTTGAGGCTGTCCTATCATTTGTCACTGCGTACTTCTTATCGCATGTCCTTCCCATCTTTCAAAGCTCAGTCTCTAATTCTCTTCGGGTTTTTTTTTCTGGGTCTTTCTGTGTTTCGTTGATCCTGTGGGTTCCCGTTCAAAGACATTAGTTATACTATTATCATTTTTTATGAGCGTTTATACTATTCAATGCCAGCGTCTTTTCTGACCAGGTAATAAATGTGTATAGTTAATTATTAGTTTTTTTTAGTCGTTCTCCTTGCTGATCTTCACTGGGGCATGATTTCTCAGTTGTTAAATACGTATGCACAGGAAGATTGCGATGAGCTGGACCTCAAGATAGCGGTTCAAGTCTTTGGCTGACAAAGATATGCCTCATTTTTGTGCTAGAGTATGCAGGTGTAATAGGAAACGAACAAGCTGACTGGCTAGCAGGTAAGACTACTGTGGACGGCTGACGAGCAATAAAACAGGCTATTTCGAATGCTCTATGATACACTAGACGTTTCGAGAAGGAAGTTATGGCTGTCAACATGTAAACATGATCAGACAGCAAGTTAAACGACTGGAGCACTATACAGAAAGCCAAACAAGAATAACAGACTAACACTAAACTGGTGTCGTCACCCGCTGCACGCTGTGGGATTCACCCAGGAGTCAGTACGAGCATTTATAGACTGAGCGGTTTGGTGTGAAAAGAGTATGGTCTGCTGACTTACTAACTTAAAGTTCCATACATTAGCACCGCTTTGACATTTGAGTTTAATAATTCTAAGTTTTGTGATAGTTTAAATTGACCTCTACATATTTTTTTAGATACTATGAAAGCTTCTCTTGGATTTCGTACGAGTATTTATAAGTTTATGCCACAATCTGCTGCTTCTTGTCTGCATGAGTGCTCAAACAGACATGAATGGTACATTGTATATCTCTTTCTTCTAGGACTTCCATTGCCTATAGCCTGCGCCTTTCTTCTTTTGAGACAATTCAGTCGTATGATGGCATGCTGCGTGCAGAATGGCAAGCATCACTTCAGAGATCCCGAGTAGTTAACATCCTTTGGATATTTTCTCTAGGTCATGCGTTGGGAAATGATCAGGCAGTTAGACTGATGAATGACAAGCTGGATGTTGTAGGGGCTCTTTAGGAGCGATTGAACAGTGCGGAGGCACAGATAGATCATTACGGTCTGTGAAGAATGGCGCTGCGGGGAGTTACAAGAGGATCTGGTCGACGTTCAGCACTCAGGGATAAGGCGAGACGGATATTCAATCAGACAGTTACTGGTACCATCGGAATTAGAACTCTACACTTGCTGCTGAAGATGGGGACGGAGCGCTTATAGGGGTGTCCTGGGTGCTGTGATGTCGATTCTTAATTCAACATTCAACATTGGGAATAAAAAGCCAAGTAAAGATAGGAATGAAGTTCTTCCCCCCAGCAGCACAAACTTTGGGCATTATTGAAGAAACCATGCAGCATGATCCCTCTCTCAACCTACCTTGTTTAATCCAGATAAAAGGTAACATCAAAAACGGTTGGAACACAGAAGGCTGCAGAAGTGGCCGGATCAGAAGAGCACTGCCGTGTCTGTCCGTCTGTCAGAGCTTCCCTTGTAGATCAGCTGCCAACCAATGATAATGGGCCTGTCTGGGCTGCCATAACATTAAGTTTTCAGGTCCAATTTCCTCTTCAGAGAGTAAGACTAGTATCCTCCCTAATGCGCTCCTCTACTGACATTAATACAGGGATACCTCTGCTAGCGAAGACAGTTCGTTCAGAATCATATTCGTTAGCCGAAAAGAAACGTCAGCGGAAAGTTCATCCCACAACGAGGCCGTGTTACTAGCACACGTCCCCACAAAAACATTCGTTAACCGAATCCAAATTCGTTAGCCAAAAACACAGAAAATTTTCGTCTTTAGCCGAAAAGTTCGTTAGCCAGGTTACACGCTAGCCGAGGTTTTAGTTATTAATACTTTAATGTTCGGAGTCAGATCACACTGACCTGCTGTTTCACCCTTACAGCTGTGTACACTCTCAATCGAGACACAATGATGGCAGCGTCTGAAGAGGAGGAAAGAAAAATCAAATGTCTGCTGGAAAGATTTGCGGAGAAACTTCAACAACTTGGGGTAAATTTGCTGTACTGTTGTTTGCGTTGTTCTACTAATACTATGGCAACTGCTAATTCCACTACCACCACTACTACCAACACTACCACCACTACTACCATCACTACTACTACTGCCACCGCTACCACCACTACCACCACTACTTATAACTACTACTATTGCTGCTGCTGCTGCTACTACTACTACTACTATTACTACTACTACTACTACTTACAACTACTACAACTTATTACTAACTACTACTACTACTACTATTACTACTTACAACTACTACTACTTACTACTACCACTACTGCTACTACTACTTACTACTACTGCTGCTATTACTACTACCTACTACTTCTACTAACTACTACTGCTTACTACTACTACTAACTACTACTACTTACTAGTGCTGCTACTACTACTATTTAAAAATACTAATACTACTACTACTACTTACTACTTCTGCTTACTACATCTACTTTCTACTACTACTTGCTACTGGAACAACTTTTACTACTACCACCACCACCACAACTACTTACTACAACAACAACAACTACTACTACTTGCAAATAGTACTTATTAATACTACTATTAATACTTACTTCTACTAGTACTACTACTTCTTACTACTACTACTACTACTACTACTACTACTACTACTACTACTACTACTACTACTACTACTACTACTACTACTACTACTACTACTACTACTACTACTACTATTACTACTACTACTACTACTACAGCTATTACTACTACTTACTACCGCTACTTAATATTACTACTGCTACTATTACTTATAACTACTACTTACTACTGCTTACTACTACTACATACTACATACCACTACTCCCTATCTTTCTAATTTAATTGTCCAGCTCTTTTCTCCGTGTGTTTTTTAGCCTTCCTATATTCACATGCCCCTGTGGGTTCCAATGCAAAGACATTCTAGTTATGCTGTTATCCGGTTTTCTCAGTGTGTGTCCTATTCAACGCGAGCGTCTTTTCCTCACCTCTTAGTCCACTGGAGCTTGCTTAGTTCTCGCCCAAAGCTGTATAATAGTTATTCTCTCATACCATTTAATTCCCTCTATTCAGCGCAGGTGCAAGCTATTACTACTACTTACAACAACAACAACAACAACAACAACAACAACAACAACAACAACAACTACTACTACTACTACTACTACTACTACTACTACTATTACTACTACTACTACTACTACTACTACTACTACTACTGCTGCTGCTGCTGCTGCTGCTGCTGCTGCTGCTGCTGCTGCTACTACTACTACTACTACTACTACTATTATTACTACTACTACTTCCACCACCACCACCACCACCACCATCACCACCACCACAACCACCACCACCACCCTACTACTACTACTACTACTACTACTACTACTACTACTACTACTACTACTACTACTACTACTACTACTACTACTACTACTACTACGACTGGTATCGAGAAGTCGACCGTCCAGAAGCAATGGCCAACTACTGAATACCAGGAAATGAGTAAGCCAGACTAGGAAAAAATTGAACAAAGGAGAAACAACACACCCGTCCATTATCAATACCAGAAATCAGAACACATATCAAGGGAAAATACAAGGAATTGTGGAGAGAACAAACAAACAGTAAACAGCAGACTCAACAAAAAGCAACATACAACCTTTTTCCGTCTATGAAGAGGGCACTGCAGGCTACCACATGCATAAAAAAAAAAAAAGACTGTAGTCTCCACAATGGGCCTGTAAAACGGGACCACAAACACCTGAGCACATTCTGCAGACCTGCCCACTCTACCTACAACTTCGAAAAGACACCTGGCCTCAAGAGCAGAGTGTGCAGAGCAAGCTATGGGGAACCATGTAAGACCTGCAGCTGACATGCGAGTTCATAGAGGCAACCCACCTTATTGATATGAGCATACAAAACCGAATGCAAAGAAGAAGAAGAAGAAGAAGAAGAAGAAGAAGAAGAAGAAGAAGAAGAAGAAGAGGAAGAAGAGGAAGAAGAGGAAGAAGAGGAAGAAGAGGAAGAAGAGGAAGAAGAAGAAGAAGAAGAAGAAGATTTGCATCCTTATTGTCCAAATGCAGTGAAAACTTATTTACTGTAAATAAGAAGGTTTATTTCTTCTCACCAGCTTGAAGGTAGAGTAAGGAACATAATGGCTAACAAACCAGAAGAAGGAATCCTTCGAGCCATTGAAGAAGAGGACCCTGAACTGCTCGTGATGGGCTGTCGAGGAAAGAGCACGCTTCGTCGGACATTTGTCGGCTCGGTCAGCGACTATCTGGTGCATCACGCGCCTTGCCCAGTGGTCGTCTGCAAGCGTCCCCAGAAAAGCAAATAGGCGCGGAATATGGTCAGGTTGTCTTCACAAAGGAGAAGTTGTTGATATAATTGTATAAATTTGTGATCTGAATTATTCAGTGGATAGTTCATTGTAAACTACATCAATTTGTGTATGTGTGTGGCAAACTGTTTTCAATTCTTTTGGTAACTTTTTTTTTAAACTGTTAAAACTGAAAATCCGGATTCACAAAGGAGGAAAGTAAAAACTAAACAAACCCTTTATTGCTAATTTGGCCACACGATGGTACACGGCAAGATGCTGCACATGTGCACATAACAATTTAAACCTGAAAATGTAAAATCGTCTTTATCCATTGAATTACACTTTAGACGGTTGCTTTTTCTTGGATAGACAGTAGCTGTAAATCAGTGTCAATAATAAAAGGATTGTTAGTTAACTTCTAAGACCAGTCATCAAATGATAGATCGGGAAGATAGAGACTGGCCTGCTCTATCATAAAATGAAAATATGACTGAATTTCAACTGCAAATTCTTTATTTTCACACTCCTTATGTTCCTTCGTCGGCTCTGTGGCTAAGTCGATGCGAACGCTTCGTAATGCCGGGGTACCGGGTTCGATCCCAGCTGCGGGCCACACGCATTGCGTTGGTTTCGACAGTGGTATCAGGGAGCCGACCGCCCAGAAAGCAATGACAAACTACTGGACGTAAATTTGCCAAGTGAAACCACACAACAGCCAGGGACTGATGGGGGTAGGTTCTGCAACGTCCTGTAAAGGATACGCAACTAACCTAACCTTATGTTCCTTCAGCTCTCAAGGGTAAATCTGTCGTCTCAACGCGGGCGCAGTTTTTTGTTATTTTAAAGCCCCAACCCGGCTGTAGTCGGGAACTCTAATACAACCTAACGGTTGAACGGGATTTCTGGGACCTCTCCCCGGGTAATCCTCATCCTCATGGTAGCACTTTGTGTCACCCGGTGTTAGTGCTAGGTGGATGTCTTAGTGGGGTTGAATCTCAATTAGTCAGTTCTCAAGACCTAGAAAAGATAAGAAGTTCTGGGATTATTACAAGTACAAATGTACTGAATGTCAACATTTTTTTAACCCCCCACCCCTTTTCTCCCGTTTCCCCCCTCATTGAAACATCCCTGCACCCTCAGGTTTGAAAACCACTGTGCTAAACCATATGCTACCAAACCTGTTTACCTATCTGCTGATTTACCCTAGAAATCTTATTCATCTTTGACTCCAGGTACAAGAGCTGTTAACAATCTGTTGACAATTTCACTACCATTATTGAATCCTTCTATGAAACGAACGCGCCTCCACCCAAAAATCAGAATGGTTAAGTAATTCTTGCTTAATTTTTAGACTTCGTCATGGTTGGGTGACTTTTTCAGTGTGAAATTGCCAACCCCAGGATATGTGTAACCTAGTGTACATAAACCCCATTTTAGTGGTTTTCTGCAGAAATGGAATACATTTTCCCGCCAGCAATCACACAGAGCAATAGGTCTTTAAAACCCCCCCCCCCCCCCCCCCCCGCCCCTTCCCCCAAACCCCCTTCCACAGTTGCCTCAGGATAAGACATGTTGTTGAAAAGTTTATATAATGAGACACGACAGTATGTTGAATGTAAATATTTAATATATACCAGAATATTTCTCTTAAATACAAATTTTCATCCAAATAATAAAATACTTTTAAATTGTTTTTGTATTGGGTTTTTCGATTATTTTTTTTTTTTTTTTAAAGTTCATTGTTCTCAAACAAGGAAACAAACATACGCACAACTAATTACACACACACACACGCACGCACAGAAGCAGATGGAGAGAGAGAGACACACACACACACAGAGAGAGACACACAGAAGAGAGAGAAAGAAGAGAGATGGAGAGAGAGAGAGAGAGAGAGAGAGAGAGAGAGAGAGAGAGAGAGAGAGAGAGAGAGAGAGAGAGAGAGAGAGAGAGAGAGAGAGAGAGAGATTCACACCCTCAATGTCCAACTTAAAAAATAAAATAAAGTAGAGCACCTGCCAAACGCACGTATGGCAAAACATGCTAGCACATCGTATTTACCAATCAGTATTCAGTGTTGGATGTTGTCTTTATCACAGCTGTTACTTAATAATGTTTATAATATTTTCTGGCCTATTTTATACAGACTGTCGTTCCTCGCCACTTAAGTAGATGCACTCCGACTTGGAAGTAAACTCCCCTAGTTAATCGAATTTTACTATATGCTTGGTAATATTCAGTGGGTATATATACCCCCCCCCCCACCCTGACAGTGGGGCCCCGGAACCCACCCAGTTCCAGCCTAGACAGATCAACAATACTACTGGCAAGGATCAGGGAGTCACATGCTAGGCCTCCGCGGGCCGCCAGTTGAATACCCCTGTTATACACACTGTAAGTTAGTTGCGTATATTTTATAGGCCGCTGCAACTGAACCCCAACATTTGTTGGCTGTGTGTGTGGTTTTACGGTACTTTTCTTTTAGTTCACAACATCCCAGGGACTCCAGGATTTCGCGGCTAATCCCGGGAAAATCCAATATTATGGAGGGGGAAAAAAAGGGGGAAAGGGGGGGGGGGAAGAGGTTAAGGATTTAGTGTTATTCAGTCAGTTTTCACCTCATACCCTAACAACCCTATATTATTGGACTTTCCCGAGAAGTCTCTATAAAATATTCGAGTTCCCGAGATTGGGTGAATTAAAAGCAAATGACCGGTTTTACTAGCCACTTTTACATTCAGTAGCACTATCCTTGAAAGCACATGTGTGAGAAACCGGGTAACCTGCACCCTGAATATAAAATGATTTCTACCCCAGAAGTATTGGACCGTGATGACAAACAGCAGACGACTTCCTGCTCTTTGAATAACGAAAAAGATCATCTAACAGGAACTGTGCGTAAAAAAAAAAAAGGGGGAACAAAATAGTACACACATTGAATAATGGAGGTAACCAATCTGGAGCTGTAAAGTGCATTAACTCATTCATTTCATGACAGGTAGTAATTTAGTCATGACATTTTTTAAAGTTGCACCTTTATTGGTTCTTCTTCTTTCTGTTAAATGATAGATCTATAAAAGCATTCAGTTTCGTAACAAGACTTAAGTACAGTGGTGAACGAACAACCAGAACTACCCGCCGGTGTTCACAGTTTGTGAACGCTCAGAAGAAGAAAAGGAGGAGGAGGAGGGAGGAGGAGGAGGAAGAAGAAGAAGAAGAAGAAGAAGAAGAAGAAGAAGAAGAAGAAGAAGAAGAAAAGTTCGTTTATAGAGTCCGCCGGCTGTGTGGCTTAAGAGTTGCGAACGCGCTTTGTAATGCCGAGGTACCGAGATCTATCCCAGCTGCAGACAATTTGGCAACAGATCGCCTTGCATTGTTATTGACAGTGGCATTGAGAGCCGACCGTTAAAGCACAGTGGTAAACTACTAAACGTAAAATTGCCTTGTAAACTCACAAACAGCGAACACATTCTGGCTTTGGTTCTGTAAAGCCCTATAAAGAACATGCAACTAACTTTTAAAAAAAATGCAACTTAGAGTTTTTACGCACACACACACGCGCGCTCCGTGTACCTGTCCGCAAGAGACAACGAACACACCAGCCTGTTGCACTTGACCGTGTGACATCTTAAGGCGGAGTCTGACAGTCCAATCACAGTGTTCTGTCCTGCCCCCTTCATTCATAAGTGTGTATATGGGCGGAGCCAGGGCCCAAAATTGTGATTAATTCCTAATACAGATATAAACATTGTGCTGAATGGGGAAAAAAAAATGTAATAATATGTTTGAAGTAATATAAAATCTAGCAACAAGTGCCTTTAAAGATAATTTATTTATAGAGAGACCTAGCAGCCCTCTGAAAAGTTTTTATTTTGTTTTGTTTTGAGTGCGATCGGCACCTCTTAACACATTTTGGCGTGTTATTGATCCATAGCTTTGTTTATCCTATATTAATTGTATTGGTAAATTTGTCTGCACAATTTAACCGTGCGTCTCAACGCCTACCTCCTGGAACAGTGCACTTTCTGAATATTATTCCCCCCCCCCCCCCCCCCAGGGAAAACATCTCGGTTTACGAACAGAACCTCGGTTTTTGAACAGCTAATACTAAAAACATGTACATCAAGGGATGAGAATGCGACAAATTTCACTCCGCGTTCATTCCATCTTGAATTTGCAGTGTCTTTTAATGATTTTCTTTGACAGTGTTCTCGCTCACTCTCAAGGGTTTGAGGTGAATCTTATGGGGGGGGGGGGGGGGGGGGAGGGGGGAATTGAATTTGATCACAGTTAGGAGTCAAGAACGGTCACCCTAGCACTTGGCAAATTCGCATAAGCGCGCTATCCCTATCATCAGCAGCAACAGCAGAATTCGAATTCCGAATTCTGCTAAAGCAGTCTTTCAAGCGGGAGTGGAGAAGGCAGAATGGAGATTACAGACCAGAGAGTGACAGCATAAACAAACTCAACAGGAAAGAACAAACAACAATTTTTAGACTTCGGACTGGACACTGTGGTCTTCGAGCACACCTGTACAGGATAGGCATAAAAGAATCTGCTGTCTGTGATTGTGGAGCAGAAAGACAGACCCCTGGGCACATACTACAGTACTGCCCTAACCTCTCCCAGCAAAGTCTGTGGTTATGACCCAGGGGATCCACATTGAAAGAGAAGCTATAGGGGACCGGTGGCGACCTTAAACGCACAATCCTATTTGTGACCCAGACGGGACTTAATGTCTAGCATGACTGATGTCGAACGCAGAAAAAGAAGAAGAAGAAGAAGAAGAAGAAGAAGAAGAAGAAGAAGAAGAAGAAGAAGAAGAAGAAGAAGAAGAAGAAGAAGAAGAAGAAGAAGAAGAAGAAGAAGAAGAAGAAGAAGAATTCCGATGGTACAGGCAACAGTTTCACTCTATGTCCATCTCACTTTTCCCATGAGCAATGGTGCATTAGTACACATCATTCTAACGTAATCAGCTACCCACCTTTTAGTGCAGCTATAAAACAAAGCTAGCA